ACTACCCAAGTTTCTATGACATAGATCCTTGTGTGTCATTTATACATTAACCTCTGCCCTAATGTAACTTTTTAAATTTATACTTAGTAAAATGTATGTACCCAGTCATTGGGCTTTATAGACAATTATATAACATTTTGTGGTGCAAGTACAGGATTTGAAGTTTACTCAACAGATTTTCTTGTTCTTGTTGAGCCAAGACCTGGGTGGAGATGTAGATTGTAGAAGTTTGCCATAGGCAATTAATCATCATATGAACATGATGTGTTATTATAATCACCGATGGGGGAAGAGAAGGACATGAAGGTATGTTTAAAAAAATCAAAATGGTGGTTGCAAATACTCCACTGGACCCATCGCCTTGACTTTTTTTCACCACCTCCTTACCAAACCCTTCAAGATGTATCTGGGTGAAAATATGTTTAAAATCAAGTGGAAGAGTAATAAAAGGATGCCTGCAGTAAGTTTTTCTATAGTTACTAATATAAAAAAAACCTTTCTGCCTTTTCAGTTGTTTTTGATTACAGTCCACTGATATCTTGGAAGGAATTTCAAGCATGCATGCCCTGGGAAATTGCCATTCTTGTTGGCGGTGGGTTTGCGCTGGCTGATGGCTGTGAGGTAATGCAGTTTTTACTACCATTTCTTCAGTTTATAAAGTATGGGTAGTTCCATACAAGGGAAATGAAAAGAATGGCAGTGATCTTTCAATGATTTGGTTTATTGCTGTCACTTATCTAACGGCAAAATGTTATCCCTGAAATTGTTTGCATTTAGGCACACTAAATTTATTGAAATCAGCAAGAATCATCTCAGCTGTCAAAAGAAAAATATGCAGAAGCTGTTTCCTCAAAAAGGCTATCTGTTCTTCATACTTAGTATATATCTTGTGGCCTGTGCTTTGACCTCCAGTCTCCCATGAGAATATCCTATTGGCAATATATTGCAAAATTTTCCAGTTTCAGTCATTAAAAGTCTGGATATGTTGTGCAGTCACCCAGTTTCATAAAATACAATGCTGGAATTTATTTGATTGCTTGATGTGTTTTTGCAACCAATGTAGGCAAAACGTTCAGTGAGGTTCTCCAAATAAGCATAATTTTTCCTTATATGGAGGCTAGACCTTGTTTAGTGACCACAACTAGGATAAGCAACTTGATCGTTAAACAAAGCAGTTGCTAAATAAAACTATAACTGTACTTACAATCTTACTTAAGCTTTCCTTTGTCTGTAGTCATGTGAAGGTTGTAATTGCGAGGATTGCTCGCAAACTTATGTTTTTATCATCATCATCATAACTGCAAATGGTCACTAAATCAGACAGTCCCTAATATGATATATTAATTGTATACTCTATATCGGGGTCCCCAACCCCTGGTCCATGGACTGGTACCAGTCCGTAGCATGCCAGCAAGCAGGCCGCACAAACAAGCAAAGCTCCATGTTCAGGATACAGGCAGTATTCAAAGCCACACCCCCTCTGATCCGTGGAAAAATATTTCTCCATGGCACCGGTCCCTGGTGCCCAAAAGGTTGGGGACCTCTGCTCTATATCTATATACTAATATAGTCAGAAAGTCACTGTTCTTTAATGTAACAGATCTATCCAAGTTTTTCTGCTGCTGTGAAAGATACAAAAATATGTCTATGGAATATACTGACTACATCTGCACAATACACCAAACCATTGTTTTTACTACCACATTTATATGGCAGAAAAGGTTGTTCATTTGCTCAGCTTCACCATTTCAGAAATATGTTGGTGTCTATTATGCACTAGGTTTTTAATGAAAAGTTACATGATATTAGTTTTTGAATAGAAATCAAATTAGCACAAATTTGATTGCGGTGTGGTATCTTAAATTTGTAGACCATGGTTTATGTGCCAACGTAAATACAGAAATAAAAATACCACAGTTTTATGGTACAGTTTCTTTATAATCATGGTGCTATTATCATTGGATGTTAATATCTGTTCTGATACACCAAAATTATGATCTCAATCCAGTGATAAACAGGTTCTGATATTATTGATGAATTAAAATAATTTCTTGTCAATTCAATGTCATGCTTATGTTCTAATTGCATTATTTCTTTATTTAAAAATCAAAATCATTCAAATCTCAAGGGGGAATGCTGGTTTATACTACCATGACAGAAAAGAAACGCTGTAACATTTAGATAGAGGTATAAGCTGTGTGCAATTGTCAGAGAATTATTTGTTTAAACTAGATCTATTCTAAGTATGCATTAATGCTGGAACATACAGATAATTGTATTCTTCACGTGGGCCCATTTACACTATAC